CCCTCATAAAATATATAGTTTATGTATACAAGAAATTAAACATTGAATCTTTCATGCCTTTTATTAAAAAAACAAACAAACAAACAAAAAAAAAAAAAAAAAAAAAAAACCCACAGAACTAGTGGGATATGTTGCCCTGTTTTCATGAAGCTAATGCATCAATCCCTGGTTCCATGGCAGTGCCTGCAGATCTTAGTGAGCTCTCAGACTATTTATCAGATATTTTTGATGAAATTTTACTATTCCCAAGCATCATCCTTGAAAATAGTTGGTCACAAATGTACACACTACCAAAAAGTGATGACATGAATAAAGTGTGACTGTGAAGGGAGGGATGTTTTTCTCTGGTAAGATGAGGCTTATGAAAGAGGCCTGGTCAGATTTTTTAATTGAGTATCTGATCACAACTCTTTGCACTCCATTTGAAGATTCCCAGGTCGTGTATTTATGCTGACTGAAGATGGAGTTGCAAGCAGACCAAAAAATGAGGATTTTTTTCCAGCAATCTTGAAGCCTGTTCTCAAATTCCTTTATCAAAAAGGGGAAGCATGGCAGTGTATTTTCTGCTGCTTACAGGACTGTGTTCAGCCAATGAACCAAAATGCACACAACTTTTTGCTGTAAGTTGGGCTGCATGAGACATGTGGGCAGTGTATTGGAGATGTCTGGACTGGGGAGGTGTGGACAGTGCATGGCAGTGTACTTTGTCCTGTTTTCCTAGGATCTGGCCCAGGTGTGCTGCTCACTCACTGAGGCCATTTGTTAACCACATTACATATCATCCAGTATGTATCAGAAGCTTGGCATAACTGCAGCATGATCAGCCATTGACAGTCAGGTCTCATATATATATGTGCTATGGAGAAGAGAGATTGCCCAACCTGTGGTCACCATTCCCTAGTACTGACTTTCTACAAGCCAAAAACCAGGGTTCTGAATCTGGGGTTTTTCACGTGCACTGTAACTCCCAAAGTCCGCAGGACTGGTGTGCTGCTGTTTGGTGGGTTTTATCACTGTTCTGCATTGCATTTCAAGTTCTCACTGCAGAGGTGGATCTAGGGGACAGCAGGAAAAAAATCCAGGGACAAAATCCCTACCTGGGCCATTGCTGTTCCCAGTCCTCCTGCAAGGACCTGCTGGGCTGGCAGGGAAACCGGTGTCCATGGTGCTCCACATTGTTTGCAGCAGGTCAACAGGGAGCATGCAGTTAAGTAAACTAAAAAAAAAAGATTAAAACTGCTATAAATATAAAACTGAATGTGTATGTTTGGTGGCCCTGCTAGGCAGGGGGGTTGGAACTACATGATCCTTGAGGTCCCTTCCAACCCAGGTGATTCTGTGATTCTGTGATAAAGAGGCCATTGAAATGCAGCTAGCATTACTGGGTCTTTCTGCCTCTTTGAGTGAAATCCTCCTCCTAAACCTTATCTCAGGTCTTGATTTTCTTCTTAGTTTTCCACGTTCATCCTGAAAGACACTCTTGCTGCAAGCATTGGGTGGGATGAGGCAGGCTCTGTGCTGAGCTGCGGAATCCAGGGGACAGTCAGGAAAAAAATAGATGGTGTTGTCCCAAGAGAAAGATGCCCAGTGGGGCAGAGGCCATGTTTTTGGGAGCTGCTGCTTGCCTGCCTAATGCCCTGCCAAAGGCAGAGGGCCTGGTTTAAACTCATCTCAGGCCAACTCTGCAAGGACCAGCTGCTGAGGTACTGGCAGGTAGGTCTGCTTGGGTCATCCTAGGGCAAAATAAGGAAAAATGTAAAACAAAAAAAGATGAAGTGAAAAGTGATGGCAGAGGAAACTGAAGCCAGACCTAGCGGTGATGCCTACTGTAGGCAAAGCCTTATGTTGGCAACAGTGCGTTTTTGGCAGCCAAAAGTAAAGAAGACCAGGGTCTCTGCTTTATCCCAGTTTCTAAACTCGTCTCTGGGGAGCCAGGAGGTGATCAGGAGGAGGCTGCTGGAGGTGGTTGTCCTGGGACCCGGTGCATTATCTTGCCAGAAGAGCCTGCTGAATTTTCATCACACAGGTTCTGCTTCTGGGAAAACCTTTTAAAGCAGAGGCCAAAACATTGCCAAATTCTACTCACAGAGAGCAGCAATCCCATCTCAACAGTGAGTCACTTCTGGTTTTAGAAGTTTACTGTGGAGGGGGTGGCTCTCCCACTTGCTCTGTTTTTTTCCATGGTATGGCGCAAAGTGGGTCTTTGTCCCCACAGTGGGGCTGAGACTTCTATACCTGGGCTCAACATGTGCCAGCAGCACCGGGGCCTGCTGCATCCTGCAGCCTCACCAGGCTGTGGGCATCAAAAGCCCTCAGCAGTGCTCCTGCACAGCCCGGTGAGGATTCTGCGCGGACCGTGTTGTTGGGAGCTGAGCCTGGACGGGATCTATCTGCAAAATAACAAAAATATCACCTCTTCAGTCCCCTTTTTTCCCCTTCTGTTCTGCCAGCTCCAAATTGCCCGCTACGGAGACTGCCAGGCAGCACTGTGGGCTGAGTGTCCCCGTTTCTCTTGAATTTTCCCTCACTGTCAGAGCATTATTCTTTGTTTATTGTGTGCAGGACAAAGACGACGTTGTTCCTCTCCTCCCCCTGTCTTTTTTAAGCTTCCTTCAATCTTCCTCTCTAAGGGAACACCAATGCTGTTCTCCCTGCACCAGCCCCACCGGTTGCATTTTCCTGCACCACACGTGACGGCGAGACGCCAGGAGTGGGAGTGGGGATGTTGTGAAGGTCACTGTGGGGCAGACAGCCACAAAAACTGTGACTGGGTGGAAGAAAAGGGACAACAGAACTTAGGGCTGGCTCACAACTCAGCGGCTTTCCACTCTTTTTTTTTTTTTTTTTTTTTGAAGATTTGCAAGTAGTTTTCAGTGGCAACAGCAGCAGCTTTTGTGATAACTTTTTGTGGACATTAGATTTTCCCTCACTTTTCCCATTTTTTGAAGATACAGTGAGAAAATTTAATATTTTCTTCACTATTCATTTTGCTTCCATTTTTTTTGACCTCAATACACCTTTTGAAGTTGGCATCAACAAAGCAGAATTCAGAAATGAAATAGCCAATTATCAAGGTTTCATTTGAACTACCACAATACTGCTTTTTTTAGAACTAGCAAGTGGCGCACACACACAGGGATGCTGCAACCTTTATTCATGTAATGCAACAGGAAATGCAGGGAAACACTGGATGCAAATGCCACAGGCAGTGATGTGTTAGAAGCAGATAGCACTGACAGACCACAGAAAATAAAGTTAGGCAGCATAAAATGATGCATGCAGATACGAGGCCAGGAAACATTGGCAGCATAAAGCCCTCTCTGTGCCCATGTACTCATGGTGAGGAACAGAAAATCCCAATCCTCCATCACTACCCAACCTTAGAACTTGGTCAGGCTACTGTTACAACTTACATTGTTCAGAAGGCCCTAACACCCTAACATAACTTGAACCTCACACTCCTTTTGGGTATATGATTTTATTTTTTTATTTTTTAATAATTAAAAAAGTGCCTGTACTAATGGTTCCCAGTTATCAAATGCACTCAGAATGAAAAGTTCCAGATCACAACTTGCTTGAGGTATTTTTTTCCATAGTTACTGTATGTTGTAAATGCAGCACAAAAAGGTGCTGTCAGTAACTGATTTCTGCATTCACTTAGCAACTAGGAAACAAGCACGCACCTAGAGGTGAATCCTTGCAATGAGAGGACTTGCCACATGCATGGTAAGCTGCACTACTGGGATTTCTGCCTCATCAGAGCTTCAAGTAATAGAGAAGGACTACTGCTGATTATGGGGAGATCAGAGACTACCTTGAGTCTTCAAGGGCCTGTACTCTCGGCTGCTCCTCTCTGGTCACTGCAGTGATAGAGATCTGCAGGATAGCTGGTCTGCAACACTTATATATTGTATGCTGTGTTATAGCACTTGTCTGTCTGCACAGTACTAAGCCAGTGGGCCACTCATTGGTCCAGGTGCTGTAGTTAAATCACAGAATCATAGAATCTCCAAGTTTGGAAAAGACTTGCAAGATCATCCAGTCCAAATGCTCACCTGCAACCAATATTTCCCACTAAACCATATCACTTAGTACAACATCTGAACATTTCTTGAACACTTCCAAGGACAGTGACTCAACCATCTCTGTGGGTAGCTCATTCCAGCCTCTGTCAGAGATAAAATTTTTCCTAGCATCCAATCTGAATCTCCTTGACATGTCTTAAGGCCATTCCCTTTAGATCAATCACTAGTACACCAGAGAAGAGGCCAACTTCTACATCGCTACAGAGAGCAATAAGGTCTCTCCTGAGCCTCCTCTCCTCCAGTCTAAACAATCGCAGTTTCCTCAGCTGTTCCTCATAAGTCCAGACGAGACACAAAATTCCCTGGATATCGCTAGAACAAACAAGCATTGTGGCATAAATAAATATCTTCAAATGTAAGGCCCGTATTGGGGCCCATGAAGCCACCATAGAGGCTGATCATCTCAGTTCCACTACAAGATCTTGAGAACGTGTCCTACATGAGGCAAACCAACCCACAATCCTCATTCTGGACCACTTCCTCCTGCCTCTACATTCTGCGTCCTGGAATAGGGACGCCCACCACACAGCTCTGGTGTGGGTGGTGAGGAGCTCTGTCTCCTCACATCTAGAAGCCCTCAGCTTTGGAATCACATCTCAACCCCCAGGTGTTAGAGCCATGATCTGAGGGAGACACAGGTAAGGGAGGCAGCCCACTTCTTCTCTTCACATTGCATGACATGAACCAAAGAGCTTCAGTGTATGCTGTACTTACATGCTATGAAAGGCTGTGCTTAGAAGCAGATCAGAGAGTACTTGCATTACTCTACTGATCAAGAAGCCAAGGCAATGCTTGCCAGATCCTGAGGTTATTTATTCTGGCACAAAGTTAAAATAACTCTGTTTACACTGAAGCATGTGCAGAATTTAACTCTTATTTAAGAATAAACATGCAAGCAAAGAATATCAAAACATGTAAGAGCGTAAGAAAATATATTTATTAAATTCCATGGCAATACTATGGTAAAATTGTTAAATACATGCATATTTTTAGACACACAAGCAATATAACAGGAATTACAACAGCCAAGCAAACTAGTTTTAAAACATTTGCAAAGTTGGTGTCTTAGGTTAGTTTCACGTGTCATCTAGCTCACCAGAATATTATTTCCCCATCGTGATCCCATGCTTCCATTTTCAAGCATGCATGTTTAATTGCTAAGCCAATAAATTTTCTCATTGATACACACTGTTGAATCACTATTTTACTTGGTATACTACAACTTTGTTAAAGTGCTGTATGATTATTTTAAATTGTGAAAATCTTTTTTGAGTAATAGATTTGGAAGCTGGAGAACTTCAGTATCATTCAGCAATAGAGCTATGTTAAAGGACTGGTTAGGTTTAGTGCATTAGGATGACTGTTTTGACAGGATGATTTATTGATTCATTGATTTATTCTCAGGACTAATTTTATAGATGAACATTTCAAATTGGCAAACAATATTTCACTACTATTTAACAGAAGTCCATTAAAATATTTGTAAAAATAGAACACAAAACCATCTCTAAAAAAATTACTTATGCTGTAAAAAGACGGTATAAAAAGATCTAAAAAAAACCCAGAACATTGAACCACTGAACCTGTTCACAGTATATATCTTAAAAGTAACAGCATTAGAATACAACAAATTTTTGGGTGACTTGCATGACTCCACCAGTTCTGCTGTTTTTTGTGCCACAGCTGGACTGAAGTTCAAACTACCATTATCATCAGGTAGGGTTTCAGATGAGAGTTACCTTCTTTTCTGGCCATCTGACAGGCTACAAACCTTACTTAGGGTATTGTTTACCCTAAGCCACTTTAAATCACATTAAAGAAACAATGTCATGGTGAAGTTTAAGGACTGTTTCGTATCTGTATTTGTTTTGCTACTAAAAGGCATGAGACTTTACAAGCATCTGTTTTACTCTGCCCACATGGAGCTTTTTGAATTTTTATCATCCCAACTAAAGAAAATGAAAACCTTCAATTTTTATGCATTCTCTGGTTAAACATTACTCTCTGGGCACTACGATTTGCAAGTTGCAAAATGTGTGGCTGGCAGAGTGCTCGTGGAAGCTGTCTTCAGCAGCCTGCTTTCCAGTAACACCAGCTGAAGAGCAGATTTGGGACTGTTCAAAATCCTCCCTACAGATGCTGTTAAGGAACACAGTAAAAGATAAGGATGCTAATTGCTCTGGCTCACCATGGCATCACTGAGACACAAAGAGAAGGTGAGACTGGCAAGGGATTAACTCAATCCCTTGCAGCACCCTACTCACTGACCAGCTCACTGGTGAAGCTCAGTCCTCACATATTTTCTGGAGAGTTTTTTTGTTGAAAAAGTGAGAGAAGTTGATAGAAGAAGTTGATAGACATTTTTTGGGGGGGGAGGGGGGAGAAGGAGGCATAGTTATGCACACTGGGACAACTTGTAAAGTTATGGAAAACCCTGCCAATATAATTTGAGGTTTGTTTGCATAATGTGCAAAAAGGAAATAAACACTATCATAGAAACACTGGGGAAAATCCAGAGTTATATAAATGATGGAGGAGGGGAAAAAAAACTGTTATGAAGAAAGTGTTTTCCAGCTTCTATGAAGATATTTAAAAACTTAGGAGAGGCATGAGGAAATGAGCTTTTAAACACTCCAGTGTTCCTCAATCTCTGTATGCAACATTTGGGGTCGAAGAATGTCCTCCCCGGCTTGCTAATGCCAATTCAAAGAAGAATCCAACAACAAATCTGCAGATGTGCTGACAGCATCTCTAAACATCAGTCACTGCTAAATGCACAGCAGCACGAACTCTGCACAGGATGCTGGGAGGAGTGCAGATGGCAGCCAATTTCCCCTGTGAGAAAATGCACTCCTAAGGCATATAGTCAAGGACAGGGCTCTCAAAAACCATGCTTTGGGAATCGTACGGCAATACACACTTAGGTACATAATACTGCTATCACACATTTGCATGAAAAGTTAGGACCTTACTTAGTGTTAAAAATTCTGATGCCATTGGATTTGAAGTCTTCTTCAAAGCCTGTGGCAGAGCAAAGCATGCTATTTACAGGGGAAGTCTTTGATAGATTTATGGTACAGAGCCTTGTTAGCAACTTGATTCTTGAAATATCACATTTTCTTCCTGCATATTTCAAATTCTTTTGCTCTATTTTTATCTACTTCTAGGTACAAATACGCTATTTACAAAGAAATTATTGTCTAAAAATAGAGGATACAATTTCTCGTCACCTTTTTATAGTGATATTCAAATATCTTCTCCCTCCAACAAATCCAGTTACCCTCAATTTTGCTACCATTTATCTTCAATTGAGTGTGGAGGACACTATAAGAGACAATATCACTGCCTTCAGCTCTAACTTTATTCTGTTGGACTTGTCAAAAACAAAAAAGGAGAGAAGAGACTTTTGTGTGTCCCCTCAGAGCAGCCTGAAACTTGAGTTGAGCAGAAGCACCCTGATGCCCTGTGCCCAGCAAAGGAAAGTTCTGGTCCCCCTCATAAATCAAATGTGAAAAAAATGTGTTGCATTTGCCAATTGTGTTGTGATGGATTAAATGCCTGCTGATTTCCTTTGAGAAACAATTTACCCATGAAAGCAGCAACTATGGATAATAGAGTCAGCAAGAACAGCAAATACCACTGATTAGGTCCTAAGTCTGCATTTGCAGCCTCCACATAGCTGGGGAGATAATACACTGCCCATCTGTAATATTAGCTTACTGTTTTGTTGAAATATTTACTAGTAGTTCTGTGAGGTATATCACATTCAAATTTACAACTCCAGAATTTAACACACAAAATCAAGATCCCAAGTATGCTCCTGTATGTCAGTCAGAACAACAAAAATAATGAACAAGTCGAACAGAAGAGTGCATGATGTTACATCAGACATGACCAATGTTCCATGCATCAAATGAACAGTACTAAAAATCTTAACAAAAAACAAACCCAACTGTCACATATTATAGTCATGGCTCAAAATAAAAAGCAGCAACACTGGTGACTTGCTTCAGAAAGAAACAGCTTGACATTGGCACCCTACATCTCTGTTCATTGATTCAACCAGAGGACTGAAGCACTGAGTTAGGAGTGTTTTGGACAAAAGCTCTTCTACTTGGAACCCTTCTGGAATTTTTTTCTTTTCCCTTTTTACATTTTTTATTCTAGGGAAAAAAAAACAAACAAACAAAAATTCAAAAGAATTAAAACAAAATAGATGTTCAATAAAGGAAAAAGATCTTTCAGAAAATGATGAAAATGCATTACATTTAGTTTCTTAATACATCTTTCAGAAACAACAAGAAGGGGTTTCACTCACATCTAATTTGACCACACAGACTCACTGGGAAGCCCAAAGGCACAAGTACAAGGAGTCTGATCTCCTTTGAATCCCAAAGTTTCAGCCTTACAATTGACATCAATACATCCAGAGGTTAAACAGCACCATGCTTTGAAAGTGCTCTTGGTATGAATGACTTTCTTAAAAATGCTTCATTGGTTTAACAAATCACTTGGGCTCAAAAAGCAAGTCTACTCTTACTGCCAAGGGGGTACACCAAGGGGTGTCTTCACATGGACACTAAATAAGCACATATTCTCTCATTAATACAGTATTTGGATTTGCTGCAGAAGATTTAAGACAGATATTGGAAAGGAGTCCTCGCTGGTAGTGTACAGATGAAGCCCCTCTGCAGGGCTATAAACCAAGATTAAAGATATAGTAAGCCACTGTTCTTAATGGGACTCTTCTGCCTACATACTGGGAATCAGGACACAAATCAAATAAAGTTAAAAAAAATTAAAAATAGCAATGGATAATTAAGTGAGAGTGCTATGGTTCATTAAAGACAGCCCTATGTTAAAGGAACTCTCTACCACCTAATCATGGTGAAATAAAGGATTTTGCCTTTACTGAAAATTAAGAGCAACATGAAAGAGAATTTGACTATGTGATATTTGTGTTGAACTGATTCTCCTCGAGAGCACTGCAAAAGGTGCTAGGTTGCTCCCTGTGAGCTTTGAGAGCTCTCTGCTCACCCTGGCTTCCAGTCCGCCAAGTTAAAAACCACAACTTCGGTTTGGTGTTGCTTCTTGCAAAATGCAGTCATAAGAAAGCACTATTATTCTCTGAGATCAGCAATTCCCCTACAGAGTTTTCCTTTTTCCTACGGATCTTCATATAACAGTAATTGCTCCTCTGTGTTGAGAAACTGCTCCACTAAACAAAAATGTAATAAACCACACTACCCATGCCTTCCGTTCTAAACATCTTCTGCTTTCAGTTAAAAGCATAATCTAAAATTTATTAGAACAAAATGCATTAGAAAACAAAAAAATAACGTTAGAGTGAAAAAAAAAAACAGGCTTTAAATAAGGTACTGTGAGCTTTGGAATAGAAAGAAAATACTGCTACTATTAGGACATAATCGCTGCCTCTCTATCAAGCACAAAGATAGAACTGCTTCCTTTTATGTATTAATTTAGTGTACTAAATAACAAGCAGTAATACGTTAGGCATGAAATGCTCTCTTGTAGGGATGCCTGTCGACGGATGGACACCAGCTATTCACACTGCCTTACTTTTCATTTGCAGCCCTGTTCATTTCAAAATTCATCCTCTAGAGCAGAACCTGATCTGCACTTTCCATTCTTCAGACAGACCGTGTATTCTGTCAGGCCCACAAACACATCTAAACTTACTGTCTTTACATTTCACTCTTCCAGAAGGCATATACAGTTGTTAGTGATGATGATTTGGAAGCTTCTTAGTGTTTTGCCTTTAGTGTTCTGTCTGTTTTGAAATCCCTCTGTGTTTTCATTCTATGGAGATGGCAGAGACATGCCAGTATCTGAAACTGCAACACCCATTGCAGTGACTAGGTTTAACCTAATGCTTGGTTTTACTTTGATGGCCAGGTCATGTGGTTCGGTAGACCAAACATCTGCTAAGCTTAGCCACCCTTCTGGTCTGTTCTCACACCATTATAGCTAAAAACTTAGTCAATCCAGCCTCCTTATATGTTAGAAATCACAGATTGAAATCTACTCATTCATCTTATTTTCAAATGCCACAAGCTGGTTCAGGAAATTGAAATCTACACTAAGATTTGATTATGACTTTATGAAAACCCTTTTTGATCAAGTGCTTAAAGATCTGACCTCTCTTCACTGTGTTTTACAATATGGAACAGGTAAATTAGAAAGTACTTTGTATTGTAAGCTAGTGAAACTCAGTGTGCTGAAGTTGGAAATTTGCACAGTGAAATACTACAATTACAGTTGCCTATAGATGCATACATGAAAAAAAATTCAAAGATGATTGTTCTGAAAATTTCTTTAAGCATACAAATTTACATCATTTAAGATATCTTTGCATCACATGTCTAGTAAAGGAGAGGTAGAACTAGTGGCCTTAAAACCTCTTAAGGTTTCTGCCACTGCAGAAATCCCCCTTTGCACTCCTAGATAGGATGTGTAGGAAAAGGTCCTGTCAGGTGGACAATGTGGAGAACAGCCAGGCAGCAGGTAGCAACACTAACATAATGAAGACCATCCAAAGAGAAATTTGTTCTCACAGAGCTGTAGTACTGCATCTGATTTCTGGTGCCAAATGGCTTGGACAACTAGTGTTAGTGGTCAGAGATTTCCCCATGGCTTACATTGCTGCATAATGCAAAGACTCCTGAATACTGTGGGGGAATTGAATAGAGTATGAGTTGAGGCAGGAGGTCTGGAGCTCAAACTATAAAATACAAAATGCATTAGTGCAATACATCAAGAAATATAACTCCTTAACAGGACAGAAAAAGTATAGAATATTCTATGGTTGTTTTTTTTTTGTTTGCTTTTTTTTTTTTTTTTTGTTTTGTTTTGTTTTGTTTTGTTTTGTTTTTTAAACTTCATGCAGTTCTTGTTGAGGTTTAAATCAGTGTTACACTTTTTTTTCCCCAAGTTTGTACCCCTGAGTCAAACACTGAATAAACACTGTACAGTAGGTACAGAAACTAGTGTCTAGTTAAGAAGCAACAGCTTTGAACGGCCATTGCTTCAAAAGTGTTAAACAGTGACATATGGGAGAAAAGTAGAACTTTGATTTGTTGTTAGTTCATCATTAGGTAAAAGATCTCAAGAGTTTCCAACCATATCCTTATAAAACATTAGGCTGAAGTTTTCAGTAAATGAAATCTTCAAGTGAGTGTATCTGTTGGGACTACATCATTTGAGTATGCATGGTTGAGAACAACTACAACAAAGCAAAGCAATCTTTCCAAGTTGTGAGTTGTATGAGATCACACTAGCCTTCAAACACTGAAGGTAAGCAGAGTTCTCTGACTATGTTTATCAGGAGATCTAAACTCAATACCTCTTATATCCAATATATTTTACAACAATAATAACTAGATTGCTATAATTCTGGCCTCAGCCTCTATTAAAATGGAACATCAACACTTTCATTAACTTAAACATGGTAACATTCAGCTTACTAGAACCTCTGCTGACTGTCTCCAAGAATAACGCATGCTTTTTGTACTTTTTTCATCCTGTTTCATCAGGAATAAGAGCTTATTTAGAAGGCAGGTTCAGGTGCAATGATAACTCACTGTTAATCATTTGGCTTGTTTTGAAAAAAGTGTGTGAAGGACCACCCCGTGTTACTGGGCTTGGGAGAGTCTTCGTCATCTTTTGGGGGAAGCAGAAACTGTCGGGAATTAATGGAGCATGGGCTCCCAAAAGATGCATTTTCATTGTTGCTTTCAACTGATCCAGGAGAGTCTGGAGCTTCCATGTTCCAGGCATTTGCGTTTGCTTGAGGTCTGTAACCTGCTGTCTTATCTGATTCTTCCTCGGCAGGTGAGTGACTTTCCATTTTCAGAGCACTGACAGGCAGCTGCATTTGTGGCTTATAGCCCGCAGTAGTCACTAAATCTATTTCTGACTCCTCTTCTGGTTTAATTTGAGGCTGATACATTGACTGGATGTCAATGTAAACCACCTGAGATAACCCCACAGGTTCATCCATAGGGGGATTTGATATCTCCTCTTCAATGATAGGGGGGCAGTAGGACACAACCACATGGTTTTCTGTTTCTGAGTCAGATCCATCTTCAGGCACAATGGTGTCTGTTGTTGCGGACATCATCTCAGTGTCTTCAATTTTGGGAGCTGCAGACTGTGTTTCCACCACTTCAACACTATTTGGGGTACAGGGATTCATTTCCAGTGTTTTAAGTGACTTATTCCCCTGAAGTGAGAAAAAGAAGGCAGAGACTAAGCTAAAAGACATGGAAACCCTGACAATAACAGCTTGTCCAAATTAAACCTGCATGCTGGCTTGTGTCTTGCACTCATTCCATTGCTATTAGTACAATCAATCAATCAATCAATCAGTCAATCAATAAATGCTTTGATTTTTATTTTCTGGTTCCTCACACATTCCTCTTCTTGTTAAAACTATTTCAGCCAATTTAAAGAGACTCCAAATCTTGCAGTAAGTGTTTGAGAACTGTTTCCTCAAATCTCAGCTTTTTATAATCCATTCAAGAAGGTTATCTAAATATTACACTCAATTCCAGTTATGGGGCCCACTATATGTTACCATACTTTCTACTTCCCCTACCAGCATAGCAAAGATAATAACTATGTGGGAGTAACACAGCCATCTACTAAGACTCACTAATTATGTGGCAGGACAGAAATGCATCAGCTCTTTCCTAGTTCAAACTTCGTATCTACCTGAACATTATAGTTTCAGATGTAGTTGGACAAAAGTTACACAGCATCTTGCCATGTTCCTCTTTGCCACAGAGTTATCCTACAACTAGAGTAGAAGACTCAAAGCCTACAGAAACTTATTTGCTCACAGTGTCTTCTAGAAGTTTAAAATGCCAGATTTAAAATCAAGGTTACCTCACAAATGTTCTTCTGAAACTGCAGTGCCTTACTGTTCTCAGGATTTGGGATCTCCGGATAAAATGTTTCTTTGATCCTTTAAAGAGGAGAGACAGAACTTATCAAAGTTACCAAGCCCTGAAACACATTGCCAATACACTGAAGGGGTCAGAACATTTCAGTTTACTTCAGAATACTGAAGACATCTGGTACAAAGATTCAGTATGTTGTACTTTCTCTGAGTATTTAATGGAAATAGCAGTAAACTATTCTGTTTTCCTTTTCTTTTTTTAAACTAGGGAACTTGTGATGCCATGTTTATGAGAACATGAAGGTGGGATGTCTATCTGAGTGTTTGTGGATAGCTCACAAATTATGCTTTGGAAAATGATTAATAAACAGGGCTCACTGGGAGACAGGCTCCTGTAAAACCCTTTTGTATCCCTAGTTCTCACTTACTGCCAACTTAATTTCTTCCTCACCTTCTAAAACATTATTTTGCCAACTTCTTTTACACAAAGGTCTGTAAAAGCCCACTAACTTATTTGGGCACTCGCAGAAAACAAGGAATTACTCAAACAATCAAAAACACTGATGCTAAAGCAAATATATTTTAAAAACGTTCAGAATTGAATGCAGATATTTACCACTCCCTTTTCCTATAGCAAAAGATGCTCGCCACCACTCCAAGCAGAACAACCACTGCCACAGGGACGAGAATTGCAATGATTAGTCCTACAGCTGGGGGAGAAAAAAAGAGAAGGTACTAAATATATCCAAAGTTTCCAGCAAGCTTTATGCTTTTTCTAACAGCCCCACAGAATAGAGTCTCTCACCTACACAGAAACTCAGCTAACAGTGGCCCATAAACAGTGACCTATACCATAAACTTCAGAACATATACCATAAACTTTTTAGGAAGATCAAACGTCAATCTATAAATAGAGTTGATTCAGTGACAGCTACAGAAATTAGCCAATTATTTCTCTCTGCTTGCTTAATCTCAAAGGTGCAACACAAGACTGACTGCCACTGCGATGTCTGTTCTCAGTAGGCACTGGAACAGCACTTTGAGGTTACTTGAGCTCTTCAAATCTCTGGTAATAGCTCTTATAGGCAAACAACACTGCACAAGCTGCACTGGCTTTTATACGGTTTACAATGTTTCTAATTCCCAGGGTTGCTCTCTGATACATTCCCTCTGCCTTTCTCTGTTGATGTTAAGAGCCTTACATTCGATTTTTCATGTATTTTTGTTGCACCCCAGTGTTCAATCTTCCTTTCACATGACTTTTTTTTTTAATTCTTGTTACCTAAAGTCAATCACTTTTTCTAACTATCTTTTAGGGTTTGTTTCTGTCAGGGGATTGATAAAACTGAATTAAAAGCAGAAAGGCATCTGTTTATAGTTCTGAAACGGGTAAATATTTTCACACTGTGTTTCTTCCCATCACGTATTAACAGATAGATATTCTTCATGGGAAAACTGAGAAAAACAAGTTGCTAAAGAAGACTCCATACTATAATAAAAGTTTATAAATTATTTCTTCTGCATACATTAGCTTGAATTATAAGGTAGCTGTAATAAGAAAGGACTTTTCTCTCTCTCTTTTGTCCTTCTCTCTTTTTTGTGGTTTTTTTTTTTTTTTTTTTTTTTTTAAGGTACTAAATAAATAAAAAATAGGCATAGACTATCTGAAGTAACCAGGAAAAAAAAACCACAACCAAAACACCTCAATTTTACATACACTGGATAGCCCCTGAGTAACTAACATTAATGCATAGGGATGTTCAACTTACAGTCTTCCTTTGTCACCACATAGAGGCTGTTTGGAGGGCTCAACCCACCAGCAGTGTAGGCTTGTAGATCCAGCTGGTAACTCGTTTTGCCTTGAAGATCAAGTATTTTCAAAGACTTTTTCGTTAAGTCAGTGATATTCTTAACTTTAAGTTCTGGATTTCCTGTTTGTTTAGAAGAAAGAAAAGCATGCACTGTAAAAAAAAGAATTCAGAGAGCCATCCTCAGCATCAGCAAGATTTTCTTTAAGTCAGCTTACTAAACCCAAGGAGACCTCTGTTTTAAGCAAAACTGAAGCAGAGATTCCTGGTCATGACACTTCGCTGTATGGCAGCAAACACCACAGCATTTAGCTGAATTTTTTACACTTGTGCTTGTCCTCTTAATTCAGTGAGAGACAGACCTGTACAGAGGTGTGTTTGCAATATGTCACATAAGTTTACATAGTCACATAAGTTTGCCTGCATCTCTTCCACCTAAGACATCTGTACACAGGGCAGTGTGTCTCACTGACACTTAGTCACTGTACAGCTCTATGCCCTCAGCAAACCTGGGTGTTCTCCAACTTTTGCCTTATATTAAAGAACAACTATGCTAATCAAACAAAGAGCTGATATTTCAAATGCCATTGTTACGTATCAGGGGCCAACTATCAACAGTATCAGTGACTAATGCAACTGAACTATAAGATCTCTTTTCTTTTTAAAAATGAAATTAAAATGAGTGGGAAAAAAAAAAGAAAAAAAAAGCTTGAGCAAGGGAATGATAATCTATAGATTTACCTGATTCCAGAAGCCTAGGCTTTAAGGAATCTTTTTCACCTTTTGCGAAGGAAAGCCGATATCCTTCTAAAAACCCCTGACAATCTTCAATAGGCATGTCTTCCCACTTTACCAATATCGAATCTGAAGAAGTTTCTTCTACAGTAAAATTTGGTGCACGTTTTGGAGCTGCAGGAAGAATTAAGAAAGAAGAAGATAGTCAGTAATATTCTAGAGTTAAATGCTGAATCCATGCAAGTGTTGCATCAGTTTAATTTCAGGGCTGGCATGTTCAGCTTTTCCTGAACATCTTTCCCTAACTCTCAAAAACTGAACAGGTGACACTACAAAGACACAAGTACATTGGTCTCTTTGATATTAAGTACTGCAACTTTATCTAATAACACCAGCTGAGAGAAAAATCTCTTCTCAGGTAGTGTTTTTGCAGATCCATACCCTTCTTCACATAACAAATGCTGAAAGATTGCATTCAGAACATATTAACTATTAAGCTTGTAAAGGCTTTAGCTTTGTGATTGCATTGCTTGTCTTCAAATTAAACAAACTTCACACTACTATTATGGAAGTCTATCTCAGTTTAAAAGAACAGCCTTAGCAGGCATCACAGGTCCATACTCCAATTCCTAGAGCTACTGAAAACATCTGTTGTATAAGGTCATGTAACAGGACATAGTCTGATGTCAGACTATCTATCAGCACTGAACTCACGTCTGAGAATGCATCTATTTCATCTTTGATTTTATCATCTTTGATGATTACCTGTCCAAAGGCAAATCTGATGTTTAGAATAAACCTATGACCTTCAGCAAAATGAATATCCTTATTTTCCGATGTCCAATGCGTTTTTTATTATCCAAAGCTGTTATCTATTTGTCTTGGAAGTTTCTAATTCTGCTGAGAATGCATACTGAAAAACCCTCTGGGAGACTGTTCTTTATTTTTGCAGAAATGCAAATGAATGAAAGATGAGTTCCTGGAAAAATTCTCTCGATTTCACCTTCAGCTTTAGCAATGCAATAAACAACAGTTTTTCAAAGGGATCAGATCAGTTCAGCAGCTCAGTTTTCCAAGCACAATCTTCCAGGAGAAACCACGCTAAACTTCAAAGTGAAATGGGAACTGTAGTCACATTCTACACAGAAGATGTGATTGTAAAGAACAACGACAAATTCAGGCTCCTGGAAGTAGAAGGCATTCAGCCACTAGTGCATCCCCAGGCAAGTAAGCTCAGCCTTAGTCCACACCCCAAGAAGCTGAAATGAGAAAACTCAGTATGACAGGGTATTCATTATGACAGTAGCCAAGGAATCCAGTTCTCAGAAGTTTGCTTTGACTTGACAAGTTGACCCCTCTCCTGCAGAAGGGACCACATCAATGAGGCTCACACTGTAACTGTGCCTTCAACACTGAAGAACACTGTCCATAAAGCAAACTTCTGCTCTGTGGTGGCAAACCCTACGCCACAATACAAGCTGGAGGATATAGAGTTGTTGCATGCTGAGAACTGGAGTGGATCAAGAAATATATTACAATTACGCACAGAGAACAAGCAGAAGTCAGTAGCACTGTATGACAATTTCAGTGTCAATCTTCTGCCAACATCAAGCTAAAAGCAGACACAGTTCAAACTCACTTTGCAAAGATCCTGAATGATAAAGTACACTTACGCAGCTCTTTTGTATACCCAGTTATGTTTTTCAGTAACTGATATCCACTGGATTTGCAGCCATACAGTGAAAAGTTGTATCTCACGCCAGGTCTGAACAGAGCTGCAAGAGAAAAACTGTAAGTGAGAAGGTTTCACTAATGGACACTGATGCTTCTAATTTTCACAATGCACATACTCACAAAAATGTGTATTAAAAAAATGACAGCCTCAGACTGCAGTATTAGATATAAACATTGTTAGTCACAGTTTTGGAGCAGTAAGCAAATCTTGCTCTTGGAAAAATTTTGTTTCTAAACAAACAGATTCAAAATAAGCTACTCAAATTGCATAAATTGCTTTTTCCACGAGGAAATACAAACTAAAGTTACTGAAACAATCACTTTACTTTCCTCTCACAGCAGCCATGTAGATCCTGACTCCTCTTTGGAAACAAAAACGTGTTTTGAAATACACAGACTTACTGCAGCAATAGTGCAAAAGAAATTCAGAGAGGTCTCAAAAGAGACTCTGAAACACTTTAGAAATGAAACTCCAGGTCTGAAATGACTCTACAAAACCCAGACAGTCAAACTTGTATGCTTTGTATGCCTTTGATAGATGCTTAATACTACCTTGTATAAATATTTTACAACTTCCTGTGATTTCTGCAGGTCAGTATTTTCAAGCAGAACCTCAATTAATCTTTTCCTAAACAAGCAGACTCTGTGGACCACTACAGAAGTCATGTGGATTCAGGTCCAGATGGAGACACTCTTCTGGAAGGACCAAACACAGAGGTAAATGTGGCAGCTTGAGCCCAGCCCCCACAGCCTGGAAACTCTCACAGCACACTTCAAAAAGCATCGCAGGAAAGAGAGCAGGAGTTGAGCAGTGCATTTAGGACAGACATAGTATTGTCTGCCTAGAAAAAGCAAGAGCTAGCCAGCACAAACAAAAATAACATGAAGACAGCACTGTCACTGCAAGTAGGAAAGCTCACCTACTAAATTTGCACCCACCCAACTTTTTTATGTATACAGTTTCAAATCATTTTCTTTAATGGGAGCTTTGTATATAGCAAATGCTTCTAGAAAGTAAATAGGGAGCAGAGAAAAAACCTACATCTTTCTTTGGTCTTTTCTGCTTCTATCAGTCTCACAATAGCTGAAACTCATTTCCCTATCTCCCCACCAGCACCTAGAGACCTGGAACTTTAATTGCAGAAAGTGATCCAACACATGGAGGTCGCACTTTAAAAATAAAAAAATAAAAAAAAAATCTGCCTGATATAAAAACAATGGATTAGTCTTCCCCCCATCCTGAGCAGTGCTTTTATGTTCAGAATCCAAATACACTCCTGAACGCTCGATGAACCATTATGTGTTGTACTGTGACAGGATGTTGTTGGGTGTAGCTAGAAAAGGTAATTTCAAAATAGCTAATAAATGCACGATGATAATAATTTAGTGATGACTAGCATTTGAATTTGGTAAGGCTGTGTAAGAAATTTAAAAAAATGCAATGTCAAGGAGAAATTCGTCAGCATACACAAGCACAGAGCAACAATCTTTGATCTATAGCATTGTACTGCTCTCACTTCATTTCCTACTCACATTCTGAACCAGAAAAACTCAACAACTGATTTCTGACTTACCAGATTTTATCACTGCATCTGTTGTATTTGAAGGAAATTTCTGCCAGTCCACACTGCAGGGTTCTGACCCAGATGAATGACACCATTTTACTATATAGCCACAGGTCATGTTGGGGTACGAATTCCAAGAAATATAAATTCCATTCCCCATTGCCACGGCTCGATCTGTTTTGACATTGTCTGCAACAAAGACAACAAAAAAATCCATCAGAGACAGACACTTATCTGTCAAAGCTGAAAGAAAGACTTCCAGCCACAGCACAAAGGTTTTATAAACTGCAGTGATTTCTAGCAATGAGAAACACACTCCTGGTACTGTGAAATTCAAAGCAGCACACTCAGCCATGCTTTCTCAAGTGCTGGAAATCAGATGTAGCCTGCAGCAAATCCCACAGCAAGTCTTAAGTATGATGATGAGAAGTACTGCAGCTCAGACCTGGCTAAAAAAGCACTTTTTCAAGGTATGGATTTACAGCAGATGGCAGGTTCAAATCTGACTTGACACCAATTTGGCAGGAGCCTGCAGCTATAAATTCCTGCTGTTATTTCAGCTAACAGTTTGCTTTGTGTTTCTGTCAGAGTGTCTTGCTGTCACTCGCCTGACCACAGACCTTTATTTTTCACTGAGAATCAACAATGGAAGTTGAGTCCTTGGTGAACTTCATAGAAATTCGAGGCTGCCAAGGGTAAATAAATTAAAAAAAAAACAAACAACAAAACAACAAACCAAAACAAACCTGCAATGCCTTTTGGTTCTTTTTTTTGTTTGTTTGCTTGTTTCTGATTTTTAAAGGTTTGGATGCCTCTGAACAAATCAGATCTGAGAATAACTTCTGATTCCTGCAACTTCCCTCCCTGGTGACAGATGGGACCCTGCAGAGCTAAGAGATGTTTTCCAAAGGCCATCGCAACAGCTGTGGCCCCACAACTGATCTTCAAAAACAAGTTCAGAGTTTGAGTTTTTCCTTATTCAGTACTCTCATTTATGCTCCCTATTGAGTCTATTATTTCATGTCATTAAATCCACAAACCATGGAAGGTTGAAGGGCAATGGCAGTTTTTAAAAAGCAGTGTTGTGAAAACTTCACTCTCACAGACATGCTGTGAATGATGAAGGACTGCTTAGCTCTAAGTATACAATCATTTTCTAGCTTCCTAGCTAGGCAAAAAAAGCCACATCTGGTTAAACAAAGACAAATCAACTCCGGAAGTCTTGTAATATCTTTTCCCAAAAAGTACTATGCATTCAGTGAAATGACTCTTCTGTGATGCTGGAAGAGCATATTTGTAATTAGACTGCTTTAATTTTCCTACTGACATGAAAATTTCCTATTTTTATAGTGAGCACATACCCTCTAAAATGCTTAAATACACCATATTCAATATTATTTCCTGAGCCAGAAGATTAGAGTTTCACCCAGGGTAGTATTGCTCATTTTGATGTATTTATAGCTGCAATCTACAGCAGGAGAAGCACTATAGCACTGCTGTAGAAGAAGAGTCTGTAACAGCCAGATTATGCATCCTGAACACTGAACAGCACTTTTCACAGACAGCAACAAATTAATTAAGGCAAAGTACCCTTTGTTTGTGTTTTTGGGCTCCTTAAAACCTCAACAGATCTCAAGCCCCAGAGCCACTGCTCTCTTATGGACACTGAAAGCACTTACAGATTGCACACAGGAAGCAGCTAGAAAAGATGTTTGGGTAGAAATGTCATCCAGTTCAGTAAATGAGTCATCTTTCATGACTCTAGTCAGTGACTCAGACAATTCCTATACCAGCTTGGGAGCAAACCTTCAAGGAGTGCAAGTTGGGTAACACTGAGGGGAACCTCAGACATCCCAAGTACTCATTGCAAGAGAAAGCTACAAATGACTGCAAAGCTCCAGCTGCCATCAGCTGTCCCATACCACAAATCTATTACAGCGACCTCCCCAGCAACTAGAGTCTAGCGCTGGTATTGCATGAAGAGAGCTATAAAAGCATTTTTATTCATTTAGCTACTCTACAATTACTTTTCCCTTCAGGAAGCAGAATAAGAAAATATTTTTAGGTGTTGGTGCTTTGGAGAAGCACAAGAAACATTAGGAGCTATTATTTCCTTTTGCATTTTTCTCTCACTGCATCTCTCACAGATCTCATTCAAGGCATGCATCTTCCTGGCAGGAGATGGCATTTTCTTACCAGAGCCAGAGTTGGAAGAAGGATGACTGTGGTTACCTGTGGTACCTGCACTCTCAGTGGAGAAGGAGAAGCAGTATATCCTTTACACAAAAACAGCTAAAAGAGCCAAAAGTTTAATCTTTGGAGATCACACTCCTCTTGGTACGTAGGGAAGCATGGACTGTCAATAGCCACGTGCGATATCATCTGCTCCACAAGCTCAAGGTTAGGAGCAGAAAATCATTATCTGGCTCAGCTATTTTGCTTTATAAAAGTCCACAGCAAGAGTGGCAGTATTTTAATTAGGAAGTTAAGGTCCTACCTTCTTTACAAACCCCAGCTCCCAGTCAGGATGCCAGCATTTTACCAGACAGCCCAATTAATATTCTCCTGCAGAGCTCAGGAGCATTGAACCAACAATCCCTCTCCTAAAAAGGCACACAACACCTCCAAATATTTATTCTGATTCTCTTCAGCACATAACACTTCTCGGTATCTCAAAAAGAATGCACAGAAATAAACTGAGCTCCTTAAACATCAGAGAACCATGCTAATGCTTTGAAGCTTCGTGTTTGCTGCTCCTGGGAGGTCTCTAGAAAAGCAATAGTGAGAGAGGCTGTACACTATCATCCTTTTTTGTAGAGAGCATAATTAATTGGAAAAACACTACCCTAAGAGCAAAGCAGCTTTTTTTTTTTTTTACCTCCCCCATGCAGTGGAATTGCATGGGAAAAAGAAACAAAATCAAAATGCAAACAAGCAAAGCGTGTTTCATCTCATTTTTCAATCATCAAACTTGCCAACATATTCCCCAAGGTATAAAGGTGCTAAGCTCTCTGCTGGGAGCACTCACCACTTGGAAGTTCCACGCTTGTTATCCTTGAAGGAGGAGATGAGCCTGCATGATTTTTGGCTACAACACTAATTACACAGTCATTTCTTCCAAGTTTTATCTCAGTACTGTTTGAGGGCTCCGTGACTTCTTTATACTCCAGTGATTCCTCTAGCAGGTAGCAGGACACTTCATGAGACACAATTTTTCCATTGGCTTCAGAAAGTGATAAGGGCTATGAACAGACAAAGAAAACGTTAAAAAAAAAATACGGAGGAAGAAAGTTAAAGAAGACATAGGATAATATGATTCTAGCATCCCAGTCTTGTCTGAGGAATGCACAGGAAAGGCAGAAAATTTAGTAACTCAAGTGTAAATTTGGAGGTTAATACAAAGGTTTCAAAGTTTTTCATTTCTACCTGGGATTTACTAAAAATTCAATTGTTTAAGTGAAATGCTTCTCACTGTACATTTTAAATACAACTTCAGTAAATTTCCATTTGGGGAAAAATATTTTTTCCATGGATGGTTCTATAAAATGATAAGAAAAACAATCTGATTTATTGACTATCAACTTCATTCATTTATAAATCTGTAGGAAAATGGATTTTCACGCTTAAATTACACCATATGTTATAACGTTAGGTTTCCTATCTACCTTCCAGAAGATTCTCAGGCTTTTTCCAGAAGGACTTCTCTCTCTCCAGATATCTGGTCCTCTGGCAGGAGCTAAGATAAAGAAAGAGATTCTTTTTCCAAGTTGCACTGTACACAATTTATCGTCTATTAGAAAGTTAGCTTTTTAGACAGCAAATTTAAAAAGCACACAGCTTCACAAGTTCACTCTTTATCATCAAAGAAACAGATAAACTTACGGGCTTCCAATGTTGTGTGTTCCTCTGTCCCACTCCAGTCACTCCATCTCCAGAAGTGGTCAGCAGCTGAACAGCGCACCCTGAACTGGTATTTGGTGTATGGGTGCAATGCATTCAGCTGAGCTGTGTAGGTTGAGAACTTCCCACCAGGCATGGAGACATTGTGCTGTTAAACATTGATAGAATTTTACTTGCTATATAAAAATACATATATATATAATTTGCTGAAAGTCAACACCTAAAAAAGGTGGTGTTTTCTCCCATATAGACTGGAAAAATGCTACAGTCAAATTCTAGATAGCTGTTGTTTGTCTCACAGAAGGCAGCCTTCCCAAGGAGAGAAGGAGTATACAAAGAAACAGTGTGAGAATGTGACTATGCTTGGAGAGTATAAAAAATATATATATTGAAAAATATTTCCTATGCAGTCATGCTAGAAAAGGAAAAGAATTCAGAGGTCTGAATGAAGTTGTATGTGGCACAAAAATATGACATACACTCTGTCTGCTGCAATTATTCCCTAGAAGTGTGAGCTTTCAAGAGGATAAGCTCTGCAGGCAAAAGCAGGCTGCTGCTTCCATCAACCCTCTTTAGCTCCTCCCTTCTCCTATGAGCAGTGAAACATTAGCTCACAAGTTCCACCAAGGCTTCGTCTCTGGTACTCATAATCTGAACTCCCATCATGACTGTGCACAGCAGACTGGGCAGACAAAGGACTTACTCCTAAGACACATTCACAAAGGCATGCTAAAGACAGTCCATCTGAGAAAAAGCTTATCACTCAGCATCCATACCAGACAGACGTTTTCCCCTCAAAAGACAATATCCAAGTAAAACCCAAATGACTTCTGTTCATAGTTCTTACTACAGCACTAGTCTCTCCTGTTATTAAAATGGTATAAGTCTATAGAGTATTTCTGTTTCACAACCACTTAAAAAGAACAACATGAAACCTAGGCATGGGAATGCGCTTTACTGAATCTAATTATAACACATGTGCATCACAGCTGCCAAAACTGGACTCTCAGTGACTCCAAGCTGCAATTAATTGTGCATTTTTAAAGCCAAACGACAACTTGAAAAATATAAAAATGACAACAATCTCTCATACGGATGGAAAAGCTTCTGAAAACATCCTCAAAATGCCATGTAAATACCCATAGCAATTTCACAGCTACTTTTTTATTACAGAGAACTCTTTGAGCTTTTTTATTAAGCAACCAAAGACAATGTGACAATGCTTAAGAGCTTCTACCAAGTTGTGCATTGTGTTTCCAAGTATCTGTAAGGGAGAGCACTGATACAGGTGCAGTGAAGCAAACTGCTGTGGCAGTGTATGACTTTATCATCCTCCACTGCCCCTGATTACTGACCTGGTAGCAGCGTTCACAAGCAATTATGTTCTCCAGGCTTCAAACAGTGTAATTCAGGCTAGACAACTGTGCAAAACTACTTTTTGGCATTTTAAGCTGAGCTGGGGGTGGGTAATGCTCACATATTTGTTTCCACTCCTGACTGCAGCAGAAGCAGTTACTGCTGGGAGCAGAAAATGCAAGCAACTGTGGGTGAGGGTATCTGTAACCACAACACCAAAATCCAATACAGCTCATTGGTTAGAGCTTTTATTTACATCTAAAAGCAAGTTAATTCCTCAGATAATTCCCAAGGCATCTGAACTGATTTTCTCTGCAATACTTAGTATTTGAGTACTACTAAACATATTACTACAGAGAATATAGACAATCTCAAGGCTTCCATAGTCTGTAAATGCTTCAAAATTGTTTTAGAAATGAGCATGTATTTATTACTACCCTATTATTTTAGAGAACATACATAAAATTAGTGTGTTCACTGTCAACTGCTTCACTTCTGTGACTTGAGTGACTTTGTACAAGGCTATGCTACTAAATGTAATCGGGTAAGAGAATACTCCTGCTACAAACTTCCTGAGGAACCAGCATTGATAAAAATCAGTCTGTGAGGTTTCCGTGCTCACATGTTCAGGTTCTTTACACCAAGTCTGGGTAATTAACCATCTGTCCACCTGAGCTGCTCAGAGATGCTCCAGCAATGAGCAATCACAGAACTTAGAGGTAAACCTGAGGCCAACTGAACAGGCAGTCATTAGGCTTCCCCACTGATACAGATCACCCACACACTACTTTAGGCAGTAAGAAGGGGAGATATTTCCACCACCTGCGCTTGGTATCTGATGCTGGTGTCTAAATTAGTGCCTTAAGCTCAGAACACCAATGCTGGGCAGCAGCTAGAATTCCAGCCTGAAAGCTGGAAATCTGAACACCACCCAAAAACCACCACCTCCTCTGCAGTTGCAGAGGTCTTCACCAAGGATTACGTTCTGTTGTGCCAGTGGGAGAATGTCTCCCTATCCTGCCTCTGCTCTAGTGACATAAGAGCAGGTTTAGCAACTCTGTATTACAGTCATACACATGCCAATTGCTAATAGCAAGCAAATAAAATGTTCTCTAAGGAAAAAGGATGGAAAAAAGAAAATCAACTACAGATTACTAAAGGCAATCAGAAACAATCACTGTGGAAGTCTGTGGGGCAGAAGCAAACCATGGAAAGAACGTGCATTAGTACAATTTGCAGCACAAAGGACAGACTACAAGGACTGTTACTCAAAGAGAGGGCTTGAAGTGCCAAATAATACTGTAGCTACACTGAAACTTCCCCTAAGCTACTTAAAAACAAGCAAAATAAGGAACAGCAGGCAACAATGAAAATGAGTAGAATTTTATCTAATTGTGCTAAATGAGCTCTTAGCCATTCCTGCATTAAGACGATCAGAATGAAGATATGAAAAAAGATAAGCATTTGAACCAAAAAAATCCACTGAAAATAACACTTACCAGTTTTTGCTCAGAATGGCCACTGCGGATTTCAATTTGACACAGAAGCCTGATCTCAGCAAAGCTGCCATTTATAAACCAACGCAGACGGACGCTTGTGGAGCTGTTCCCATAAACAGTTAACTTTTCTGGAGTTTCTGGATTAACTTAAAAATTAAAGAAAAAACATTTATTCTAAGAAAAAAAAAAAAAAAGCATTAATTTCAGTTTTAAAAAATTACGTTTTGAAAGATTGAAGAGAATAAGAAGAATAAATAATACCCAAATAGGGCTTAAGAGGCACCTATAAAACAGCCTTGCCCCTGATGCACTTCTCAGTTATTAAACATGGAAGATTTACTTATGCTGAGTTCCGCTGGCATACATAATAAGGGGTTGGAGATGCAGAAAAACATTTCATTGCTAGCTATTTTACCAAAACAGTGAAACATGGGCTATTTCAGAGGACTGTAAGGACACATGAAATTCACCCAATCATGGGAACCTGGCAAGTTAGAACTTAAAATATTCAGACCTCTTTACCTCCCCCTGTCCAAAGCTCACTTCAAGAAGCATTTGTGGACTATTCAATACATTCTCAGAGCTGTTGGAGAAAATCAATCTCCACTGTTGGAAATGCTCCAGTTGCCCTTGAGAAAATATGTGCTCTACATTGGGAACTAAGTGTACAGTGAGTAAAAAAAGGAAAGGAAACAAATACAGAACAGCAGTCATACTGACAGTTTATCATTAACAGAAGTAAGTTATACCAAAGTGACCTGCCTGTGTATTCCTACAGTTCTAGTCTCAGGCTACTTGTCATTAAGAGATGAAAATAAATAAATAAATAAATAAATAAATAAGATGAGCTATCTTTAACTACAAACTGAGTTTTACAGAGTGAATGGCTGAAAGCCATAAGCCCTAGAAACTCTGAATCCACAGCTGTGTGTGGCTGCATGGAAAGGGAAGAGAGTCAGCATGACAAAGGTCATCATCTTCGCTTTAAAACATGAACGCAATGAAATAAGTTCATAACAGCAGATGATCACAGGTACGTGCTTATTATAAACAGTAAGTAATACCCTTGCTAGTTCCTTTCAGCACAGCCTTTTTATGCTCCAAATGCTGCCAGTGTGAGCCTGTACAGTATTTTGCCCTTTAAGCAGACACTGAAGTAAAGAATCACAGAACGGCCTAGGCTGAAAGGAACCTAGGCTTAAAGATCACCAAGTTGCAACCCCCTGCGGTGGATAGGGTTGCCAGCCACCAGATCAAGCTGCCTGGGATCCCATCCAACCTGTCCTTGAATGCCTTTAGGGATGGAGCATCCACAGTTTCTCTGGGCAAACTGTGCCACTGCCTCATCACCCTCCAAATAACGAATTCCTTCCTAACATCTAACTTAAGTCTCCCTTCTTTCAGTTTAAAGCCATTTACCCTCACCTTATCACTAATAGACTGTGTAAAAAGTCAGCCTCCCTCGTACTTATGAGCTCTCTTCAAGTACTGGAAGGCTGCAATGAAGTCTCCCCAAAACGTTCTTCTTCATCAAACTAAACAAGCCCTGGTTGCTCAACCTTTTTTCGTAGGAGAGGTGCTCCAGCCCCTTCATCATCTTTGTGGTCTCCTCTGGACCCGCTCCAACTGCTTTGCATCCTTCTTGCATTGGGGGCCCCAGACCTGGACACAGTACTCCAGATGGGGCTCTATAAAAGCAGAACATTTCCTTCACCCTGCTGGCCACCCCTCTTTTGATGCAGCCCTAACATTACTGTTACTGAACATTACTGTTCAGAGATACAAGTGCATAGTGCTGGCTCATGTTCAGTTTTTCATCCATCAGAACCCCTAAGTCCTTCTCCACAGAGCTGTTCCCAATGAGCTCTTCTCCCAGCCTGTAGACATATCCAGGACTGCCCCGACCCAAGTGCAAGACCCTGCCCTTTTCCTTGCTGAAGTTCTTATGGGCCCACTTTTCAATTCTGTCCAGAACCCTCTGGACAGCTTCCCTTCCTTCTGTTGTGTCAGCTGCTCCATACAGCTTGATATCATCTGCAAATTGACAAGAGTGCACTCAATCCCATCATTTATGTCATTGATGAAGATATTAAAGAATACAGGTCCCAAGATGGATCTCTGGAGGACACCACTCGAGGCCAGTTTTCACCCGACTATACGGACATTGGCTGCAAACATCCAACCAATTATATATTCACCAAGTAGTCCAGCCTTTGAATCCATACCTCTCACCTTAGAGATAAGGATACATGCAGGACCACGTCAAAGGCCTTGCACAAGTCCAGGCAGATGACATCAGTTGCCCCTTCTTTGCCCACTGAAGCCACTGGCCCATCATAGAAGGTCACCACCTTGGTCAGATATGTTTTGCCATTGCAGTTCTTAGTTACAACTAAATTTTAATTGCTGATTTGGAATAGAATATGAAGCAACACATAAGCAGCAGCTGCTTATTATTAGATCACAAGCAGCATTTATCCATACAGCAGCATATACAGTCCAGCAGTACTGCTGTAGAGTACATACAGTACAGACATCTCCCTGCACACCCTATCTTTACCTCAGGACATGTGCTAAGCTTTCTTAAGTTCGAATCACAAAATGAGTCAAAAAACTCGTGACAACAAAGCAAAACAATCACAAACAATAGCATACCGTGTCAGTGCTCTTCCAAACCCCAAACAAACCTTTAGTGTATAATAAACATATCTAATTGCCTTCATAACTCTCAAGACTTACCTCTCCGATTTAAGTCAACCAAAAGTGATGCCTCTGTTTGTCCAATAGGATTGGAAACTCCTAATACAAAACTGTAGGTTTTCTGATCAGCCAGAACTGGAAAGCCACAAACACGTTCTTTCTTCATTTCATTTACATCACAGGAAACATTTTTACCAGATATACTACAAAGTAAGAAATGGTGAGGGAACAATATCATTTTTGAATAAGGTAACTTACAGCAACAGTCAGAAGTCTAGATTAAAAACACAGTAAAGAATAATGCGTTCATTAAAACACGGAGCTTACAGAATTAGTTGACTGCAGAGGCATATCTAACACCACAGTACAAGTTAAAGTGGCATCAGTTATGACTTGCCCCATTCTCACATGAAACTCCTCTCTTTCACTAGCATAACATTTCTATCTTCCCACTTCTCAAAAGCCTGGAAAACAGGTATGTCCTGTAAAACTACCTCACAAGTCACAACTAAATCTCTTATTTGGAGTATCTTTGTTCAGATCAGCAGACATTTGCATTGGAAGTATGATCTTGATTGCTTTCTGAGCTAAGGAAATGTAACATACATAACATCTTTCTACCAGCCCTGCCAAACTTAAATTAAGATTTGTTGCCCAGGATACATCCACTAGTCCGTTGCCCACGATACATCCTTAAGTCCCAGCCATTTATAAATCAAAAGCAGTTTGGTAATACCCAAGACCAGAGCTATATCATGTTGGCAGTAGTCTGACAGAATAAGCCCTTTATTTTGTCATTCGTCCAGAAAAGTCTTTGGAAATATCATCTCCAATTCTCATTGCAATTTTCAAAATGAGGTTCCTGTAATTTTATTTTTGGAGTTCAGTTCCAACTTCAACAAAAATATTTCAGGCTCCAAACAGTGAAGACTACGTCATATAAGGAGGCATGGAAAAATTAGTCGCAGCCAGCAAAGGATGTATTCTAGTTCTACCTTTTTACTTCTACAATGCTGATCGGTTTTACCTTTCAATTAAACTGTACTTCGTTCCACGTACTCCGTACAGTCCACTGGCTCTACCTGGTTTCCAGGTGCATTTTATTATCACAAAGTTGGATGTTTCACAGCTGAGGTCTTCGGGAATATCAGGGCCATCTGTAGGATAAAATAAAATCAAAACAGTTAGACAAAGTATTCCCATCCCAGTGTGATAAGTGAGACTGCAATACATGCTTAATTGAGCAAATAAAATGAATTATTATTATCAGCGCCAACTGATTTATGCTTGACTCTGGGCTCCTAAGTGGGTAGGTAAGTTGATTAAACCTACGTTCACAAGCTCCAGGTTCTGACTTGGAAGAGCTTCACTAAAACTCTGTGAGTCTCAGTTTAACAATGAAACAATGTAGGAATTTTTCACATGCCAGCTCCACGACTGCTTTGCATTCTCCAAGCAAGTCATGTCAAAGAGATGTTCCCCTTGGCAAGATTTTGATCCTGAATTTGAAAACTTAAGCAAACCATGATTCCCTCATTCTTTTCACTGTTGCTTTGAAAGCACCCATCCTCTCCTTTTGAAGCGTTTTTCTCTCTCACACTACACCACTGTTGACTGCCTTTTTGGAGAAAATGGACAGTACTGCCAACAGACAGCGTGACCAGGCTGATGCGATACTATGCATAGTCTTACTTCAACTGTCATACACTTTTCCCCAAATTGTACTGCAGTAGTATCCATGTAGCTGCCATATAGAAGGAAATTAACATGAGACAACAGTGGCAAGGGTTAGTTTAGACTAACAGTAAAAGGAAAAGAAGAGTTAACATTTAGTTTGCCAGGTCTAGCCTTAACTAAAATGGTGTGGATATACATTCATTCCCTCTACTTTCTTTTCTCCAAATCTATCTCATCAGGAACGGTATGCTGGCAAGTCTTATTTCCCATTAAGCAGCTACACTGGCAAGTACAAGAAACACTGGAAGGACACAGACTTCACTACAGCCTCGCTCTTCAGAAAGTACTGTATGAAATAATCCCAGATCATCATAGTCTTCATTCACTGAGCACTGATTATTTATGTGGAAGACTCTTCCACAAAAGCAAGCAGGGCACAGATAACATAAAAACTGCACCTCACTGAGAAGGCTGTTTTGCATTTTCTAACACGGAATATGCAAGAAGACAGATTAGAATTAGAACACACTTAGAACACACTTTCAAAACGAGTTCCTCAGTTTCAAGGATTCTAAATTCCAAGATGGGTGCTTACAATGGAAAACTGGAGCTGTTAGAAGATGGCAACTCTCATAACCATTGTGGTGAAAGCACATAAAACTCTGAGGTTTATTAATTAACGGGAAGAAGAAACAGATAATTTCAAAAGGTAGCTGCATCTGGAAAAGATTTCTGAGGCTGGCAAAGATACATAGAAAAGATACATGGTGCATCTTTAAAAAAAATATTAAAAGAATATTTAGAAGATTTCCCAAGGAAAATGAACTGTCAGCCAAATTCCCTCACTGTAATTAGCTCCCAGGAAGTTACTGCTCTGGATGAGCATCTGCTGTTGCTTCAAGCATAACTGTTTTATTGCTTTTGTTTGGTTGGTAAATTAGTCTTCACTTACAATTCTTCCTCTTACTCTTACCTTTATTAGGAACAAACTGAAACACATGTTTGTCAAAAGTGACAGAAAATGAGGATAAATCTTTGAATGCTGATAAACTACTAAGTACTCCAGATAAGGAAGAACTGCCTCAGGAATAGAGGTCCAGAAGCAAAGATGCAATGGGACTGGTTCTAGGAGACTCTCACAGGTAGCCACTGGGTACCCACCACCCCTCACCCTCTCAGCCCTTGTGTCTTCTCCATGTGTTGGAGTTTCCATAATGAAATTAATCATATGAGTAAAATCCCAGTTTTTCCTCACAAGCCAAAAGCTAGGGAAGAGCAAGAAAGACACAACAGCATGTTTTCTAGCAGACAAAAAAGTCTCAAGAGCATTTCCTCAAGGTTATTAAACATAATTATACATACATCCTACAAACAAGACAGTTCCATCCATCCCATTTTCAGACATTCTGCACACTATATTTGTCCCACTGGCATCTGAAGCACTGGCATTTAGCACTCTGATTGCACTGCTCCGACTGCTCAGACGTATTAGGGGGTAATCTTTTGCTCCATATGACATCCGTTGTACCTGCCGTCCTTCTTCATGGACACAACAAAATGTCACATTTGAACCCACTGCCACCACAGTGTCCTGAGGAAAAAGTCCACTTCCACTGGGCTCAGTATCTTTTCCTATCAGAGAAGGAAAAAACGAAAATGAAAAATAAAAAAGGAAAAAAAAAAAAAGCAAAAACAATTTGCTATAAATATGCTGCCAGTCAACTAAAACTTAACTCAAGAGTAAGCCAGTGCACCCAAATCAATGCTTACGAGGTTTCATTATTTCATTAACCATTTCTCTATTATACCTCCAAAAAAGCGTTGAGTCATCACAGCCTTAAATCTTTTCCTCTGACTTTGCCTTAGTTTTCATAAAGTACTGAAAGTCCATGTGGTACTAACGGAACATACATACCAGGAACTACTTCTACTGGGCTCCAGTCACTCCAATCCTTCTTGCCATCAAATTGTGTTATATTAATATAACAGCGAATCCTTGCATAATGCGATGTACACTCCAAAGGCATGTCTGATTTCCAGTTCCAAGAATGGATGATGTCTTCATGGGTCAGTTTTGAATTGTAAAATTCCTACAAAGTTTTTCCCCCAAAAAAACAAAAAGATCATGAATGGTTGTTAGCAAAGACATATAATCTTAGAGCTGTTAACCAAATGGGAAAGTGAGTGAGGTTAATAATAAACTCACAATAGATGGTCACAGTGTTTCATTTAACTTTTCAATTGCCTTATGAATTCACTTGGGTAAGAGTCTAAGATGCTAAACAGCCCACCAGCCAGAAATACCAGAGGGCACACATTTGAGGGAGAGTAGGCAGCTTGCTGTGCATTTCAAAAGGTATATATTGTATCCCAGTATTCAGGGCCTACTTTTTCAGCATGAATTTCTTGTAAATTTTAGCCTGAGAATACATATTTTATCTTTTTTCCTTTCCTAAAAAACAAATGTAATGGAATTACAAATAAGGTTAGAAAAACTGGGGATGTCGTTTCCTAAACTCTGGTTAAATTTAGAAGGTACTGTGACCTCAAGATACCTACTGATTAATTCAGCTGACCTACTGCAACACTGGAGACATAATCTGCACATTTATTTTTCAAGATTAAAAGAACTTACTCGTGTGACATCTTCCATTGTTTCCTTACGGAGTATCTCAATCTCCCAAGAAGCGTCCACTCCATATGGGAAGGCTGATCCATTATCACTCCACTTCAGAGTTAACGTGGAAGTTGAAAAGTCAGGTGTTAAACTAAGAATGTGTGGAGCGAGTGGAACAAATGCTTGAAAGAGAGGGCAGGAAAAAAAAAACAAACATATTGAAATTATTAGTCAGCAACACCAGCCCTACAGGTGTTCAACAGACACATTTCTGCTCTGAACTGGCTAGTAGCCATATAAACATATAACTCAACCTCTGTGATTAGAACAAGATGTGCTTTGTCATTACTTGAGCAGAAAAGTGCTGAGGACAGCACAGGTGCCAATGAGTCACCAGGTAGCAGCTTCTTGCAGACATGTAATTCAGTGATCATGAATTGACCCTTCCTAATGTGTAGCAAGGCAGGCAGACAACTTTCACTTCACGCCACAGAGTGTACTACAGAATTGAAGTGTACATAAGAATACAAGAAGAAAGAAGGATGTAAAATCCACCAAAAAAAGAAAAAGGTTTTAGAGACAAGCAGAAAAGAGGTGACTCAACAAAAGTGGGAGCAGAGAGATAGGAGAGCAGAAGCACAGCATGGAAGAAGCTCACAGGAGGCTCTGGAGAGGATCATGAGGAATATGATTTTAAGATACAAGAAATAGGGAAGACATGACATTGTGATAGAGACATGACAAGGAGATTAAACAGAAGCATATCTTCTACAAAAGGACAGTGGTGAAGCAAGAGGCTGCGAGGCAACGGTTACAGCAGTTCAGATGGTATTGGCTCTGGTGTAGGATAAATCTGGTTTTTAAAATGCAACTTGGGTACTGGCCAAGACTGAGAGCTTGCAACATGTTCAGAATGATTAACACACTAGCCAGGATGTCTTCTGAAGCGTGAATGGGTCCTCCTGACTGGAGTCAGACACATGCTGGGGAACCACATTGTGGGAATCCATTCCCCACATATTTTTCAGTACTGTTTTGTTCACATTTCCTAGCAGCTCTAGCCAGAACCAAAGACTAAATTATGATTAAGTGCATCAGTGATGATAGGCATCAATGCCTATCTTCAATTCACAGCTGAGGAGCTGGGATGATCAGTGAAGTTGCTGCTGGAAGTGGAGAACCAGAAAATATAAGCTGAAGGAAAAATTAGCTGTCGACTAGTTCAAGTTCTGCTTCTGTAAGAAACGCCTGGAAGCAGGTAGTGCTGTTAAACCTGACTGATAGCAATCAGAGTTGGAAATACACAACATAATGTCAATGGCTAAAACTACTGGAGCAGATTACATGGCAGTGGTTTTGGATGACTGTCATAATTTCAATACAGCTACAGAGAACCTGGAAGAACATGCACTTGAAACTTTAGGGAGAGAGGCTGTGGGCATACATATTGAATGAGATAAGGGGATCTCCTTTTGAACACTGGACACCAAGTTCAGTGAAATTCCTCAGAGCCAAGCAAGCCACAGTACTATTATCAAGGTAGGAAGCAATTTAGTGTAGGGCTCCACTGCCTCAACCTGCAGATACTTTCTTGCTTTCTTCCACCTTTGGGAGAAAGGAAGTAGGAAAAAGTCTGTTTTATTAAACTATGATACCGCATCCAATAGGATGCAGTAAAGGTGTTAAGCATAAATGTCTTTGCTGAGTTTCACATAAATTTAAACAGAATGGACAAATTCAGCATGTATTAAGAAAACATGAGTCTGTCATGAATGATGATTGATATAACTGATCTTAAAATATTGCCTAGTTGCAGGAATAAACAACTTAGTTCTGTAGTGGTTCAACATTTAAGAAGGGAGAACTGGCACTAGGAATTTTAATCTGCCTTCTCCCACTCAAGTCTAAGCAAATGCACTTTATGCTCCATGTAGGTACTTCAGAATGTAAACTAGTAACTATTCCACAAATCCTTTCTAATATGCAGCAAAGAAAACAAGAACACGGAGCGATTAGAAGGGTCTAACAATATTGGGCTTTGCTTCCTCCTCACATTCTGTCCTTGAATTCTCTGTGATGAGGGGGTTCAGGATTTTTTTTCCTCTGAGGAGAAATAATAACACACTATATATGGCCAGATTCATGTGGATTCATTAACATTCTATATACAGGAACACTGGCAAACAAAAATGCAGGCATCTACACTTAACAGCATTTCAGATATGTTAGGTCTGAAACCCGACACTTACAGATGTTTTTCTTGTGAATTTCAAAGCGTCTAGTAGCAAAGGCTGTTCCAGAAATGCTGTATGTGGTTATTTTCATCGTGGTGGAGCTCTCTGGGACTGGAATCTCAACTTTTTTCTCCTTAGTTTTAAAACACTTTGGAATGACGTCACTGAAAAGACAGAGAGGTTTAAGCAGGTATTTCAGCTGATAGGAAGTTAAGGCAAGCTAAGTCATATCTCTAGGATACTAACAAAACACAGATTCTCTGAAATGTAGCAAACAGAACTTCATATCAAATACGTCTTTGTGAAGAGCTGCAGGACTTGGTTGGCAGCAGATTAATAGGCAGTCCTCTTCCCTCAAGCCACTTTAATCAAAGTGGTAGACCATGCAATAGTTGTATAATGTGGCCATCCAGTTAAGAGAACACTTCAAAGTGAAAAAATGACTTTTTAACCACGAGATACTTTTCTAAAACCTATAGCTGTTACAAATCAGTATTTCAAAACAATTTAAAAAAAAAAAAGAAAAACTCCACAGTTTTTTCCTTACATTTCCTGACTCCATCTCTCTCAATTTCTTTCCAGAGAGACATGTGGATGTAAACAGTATGTTCACCCACCTGAAAACAAAATCAGCTAGCAGGGGAAAAACAGAGTGCAGGGGAGAGAACTATTAAGATTCCAGATGGAAATGCAGTCTGCACACAGTATGCAGTGCTCAGCACAATGTGATCTGGCCTTTGTCTAAAGGTCATAGATACATACATAAAACAACAATGCATGGGTCAAGTCCCTTTGCTCATAATCATTGATATGCAACAAGAAAGGAAAAAAAGTTTGAAAAAATCCAAATCTTCCTCTTGAGGCAATGATAGGAGGAAGGAAAATGATGAGAACAATGCCAGACTTCCTGCTGAGAGATTATTACTCATTTATGAACTGGAACAGGACCCTGGAACTCCTATCTGCTGGAGTCAAGAGCTTGGGTTGAACTTTTCTGATTCACACAAAAGACTCTGAACTAGTGAAAGCCAGTTGAGACCTGAGTGCTCATAAAGGCTATTCCTATTATGTACTGAAATATCATTAGAGGATGTTTGAGAAAATGAAAAACAAAATTTTTTTCCCTCTGGGAGGTCTGCATGAAACTCAGCCATTATTTTCTGCTTTGGGACCCAACCTTGATCTGCTTTGCTAAGGAAAAACAGAAGCAGCTACAAGGTTGTTGTTGTTCAGAGCGCAGTACCTTGTGAACTTTGCACTCCTAATCTCTGGCCAAAATATCACATATATGCAATTTTTGTATAGAAATAATAGCTGGCAATGCAGGAATAATAACTAAACAAAGAAATCAAGCATGTAGGTGGAAGAAGTGCAGCCAAGCCCTGAGACCCCAAGGAAAAGTTTGGGCTGCCTGCAGAAGTAACAGGAAAAAAAGAGCGCAAAAGTCTGGACTGGGAGAAGAATCAAGATACAAAAATGAATTGAACTCATTCCTAGCACATGATAAGTATTTGGCAAGTCAGCAGCATGGGGAATTGCACATGCATTTTCATGAGTGAAAAACATACTGAAGATTTTATTTTCTTCATGTTTTTTTGAAATTTTTCACTTGCATTCACTTCAGAAAGGCTACTGGATATGTGGACTCATTTTCATACACTCTGATAAAACACCCTCCAAACAGCTTAAAATTTAAATAGGTTATAAGATAGCCACTAAGAGATTTTTAATGTTTTTTCCACATGTAAATCTTGACATTTATGTATTCTACCTCATTGGCGCATAATATCGGGATCTGCTTCTTCCAACTATCATTTCCTTTTGGACTAAACCTGGTATGAAGACGTCCCTTATGAAAACTGAGTAAGGGCTAGGCAGACACTCAGAGAACTCTGAGTAAAAGAGAGCATCTTCCAGCTCTTTGAAGAGATCAAGGAGGAGATTTTGGCAGGAGAACTGTTAGCGTCAAAGAAAACAACTTCATCAGAAACCCTGCCACTGCCTGAGTGCCTGTGGAGAGCACCTATGGAGGACAACTGGCAGGCAGACTCTCAGGGGAAAAAAAAGCATTACGGATTTCACAGGCAGAGACTGAGGTATAACTATACTTTAATCACAGTTCAGCAGTTTGCAGTCAAGTAGGTAACAGAGGACTTACTCTGTAGTGTAACAAAACTCAGTTTGTCCATGTCTTCTTTTAGATGAGATATCCCAAGTACAGACCACTTTACGTAAATTGTGCGTGACACATTTTAAATTCTGGGGGTCCCCTTGAGAACCTGAAATTGTATAAGAACTACAGTCACAAAAATTTTGTAAATGACAAATTTTTGTCATTTTCAAAAAAAATGGTAGGTCATAAATGGCCAGCTGTAAAACAACTACTATGGCTCATACCTGTAGGCATTATGTTTACATATTTACTGTACATATTTCTGGCCAGTATTTTAAAATCACTGCACGATTTTTGAGTGCGCCTGATTATAGGCAACCAAGGACTGAAGGATTTCTGGAGGTATGCAAAATCTGGGTTTATATTTGTGCACTAAACAAGCAGTTGTCTCCACAAAACCCATTCCTAGCCTGGCCTAATAAGCAGGCTTTGGGCCAATGGCAAAACCACAAGCAGTGATGATAAACTTAATGTGTTTTTGTTTTCCTCCATTGTCTCACATGGAGGACAATTAATGATAGATGGGCAATTAATGATAATGTGTGAACTGTCACAGACAGCTGACATATACAGCAGAATGGCCTCAAAGCAGATATTTACATCAACTACACATGCAGGCCACCACAGCTGCATTATGGAGAATTTAAAACCCAGCTTTATGCTGATTAACAAGACATCAACGGCTGCTGGAATAGAGAGACCAGGTCTGGTGGTGTTTTCATCTCGAGGGTGGTGTGGGATCACACTGGCGGCAATTCCTGAACATTCATAATGTAGGAAGGCACCATAATTAAGTGGTGTCAGTAGAAACAGAAAAAAGGTAAATAGTGAATTACATAACAACATACTCACCTATGTCTCGACTATGCACTAAGCTTGTTAAACATGAAATAGCTAGCGCTAAAAGACAGCGGAGGTTTGGATTCGTCCACATTCTTCTTCTGTTTCTCAAATGGCAGCTTCAAGTAGGAATAAACATCATCTTCTAAGAAGCTGGTCAGTTCTAAAATCGCAAACAGAAAAAAGAACAAAAAAACCTCTTTGAAATTCTAGAGCTGCCACCACACAAACGCTACTGTGTGTTCCATCCATTTTTCTTTTTCAGTGATGCTACCAGGTGTGTTACCACTATTCTTTTCTCTGACTGGCAAGCAAACCTTTTTCACCGTCCCGACCACTCCCCAATGCACACTTTTTCAGAAAGGTATTTCAAAGATAATTTTAGGATTCACACATATGGAAAACACAACTGTACACAAAGCTCCTTCAGGACTATCTCATGCCAGAATAGATGTGGCAGCGTATTCTTCTAGAACGGGATTCTTCCAGTGTAGACTGTATATCACAGTTACAGAAGTCCTGAGTACCACCACTGCAAATGTCCTTCCTCTGCTTTGGGCAAGGGTCTAAGAGAGAGAAGTAGTTCGTCTGATTACCTGGTTTCCTTTCCACTGTGATAACTCTTGCCTCTCAAACCTATGAGATGGCAGAACCAAAGCTGATTAACTGAGGATTGCTGGTTCAATATGCTGCTAAATGATAATTTCTAGAGCAAAAACAAAGGAGGAAGAAAAAAAAAAGAAAAAAAAAAAAAAAGATGGCCACATCTGCATCCCTGGATACTTGCTGCTGTAAATATTGACCTTAAGGCAAAAATCTAGAATATTACATTTAATGTCTTCTTTGAAGATGAATGGGTTTCATATTTTCCAAAGAGATGTTTATCAGAAACTGAGGAACACATTTAGTTCCACCCACACTTCAGACAACATCATCAGTTTTAGTTCTCAAAATGAAAACTGCAGGAAAGCTTTTGTTCAAGCTCAGCCTACTCCTGAAGCATTGTTTCCCAAACCACCTGAAAGCTTTGAAAACATGAGTTTTCCAGAGACATAGATCAGAAGGAGCTAGATCATTTTCACACAGGAATACAGTTGCGACACTCTCTCCTACAGAGCAATTTTTTAACCCTGCAGGCCAGCTCTTTCAAAAGAAATATCAAGTGGAAAACCACCTCTCCCCAGAAGTCTCTTCCAAGGCTAGATGTACCACATCGTCTGAATAACAGGCTTGGTCTGAAAGCTTCTAATAATTTTAGAAGCCTCCCTTTACTAAAGTCCAGCACTCCCAGGTAGATGTTCCTTCATCTTTCAATACAGACATCTTTATCATTATTATTATTATTTAAGAAAGTCTCCCTCACAGGAGACCTGGGAACACCACAAAGACTTCTGCACTCCCCATCAATCTGTGTGCACTGTGTTAGAAGTGTAGCAGCATTATTTCAGATAATCCAGAGCTGTTCACAAGTGGCCACTGCTTTCTTTTGGTCTGCAGCATACAGACTGAGGGAATGGCACAGGCAGAGCTGGAGCTAAGATTCTGTAGTAAAGGTCAACGTTATATTTGGAGAGAGGAAACATCCCTAAAACTTATTCTATTTTCATCATATTCTCAAGTGAGTTCCAAACTTTTGTTTTCATACATTCTTCAACTGGAGTAACCATGTCATGCAACTTGTTCAGGACCAAATCAAAAGTAGACAAATCCACGTTAAGGACTAATTAAGAACCTGCCAGCACATAGAACATAATGCTGTCAGTGCCAGAAGCACCCACTGCATGTTGGCGTCCTTTGAGGGCTTCGTATCATATTTGTCCACATTACTCATGGAAATCTATGATGTAAGCTCCAGGTTTAAACTCCTTCACAAACCACTCACTTCATCTGAATCTGAATCTGAAGACTGCTCTGATAGAACTGGGAGTTAACACGAACAGAACAACTGGCATCCACTCAATAAGTATATGTAAATTACAACTGACTGTTTGCAAGTACTCACAGTATTTTTTTAAAAAAGCCATTTCAGGTTTGCAATAAAGCTCATAATTAAAACTTCAAGTTGACAGCATCCTGATAGCTTGCAAAAACCAGGGAATAAAAAAAAAAAAAAAAAAAAAAAAAAAGGAAAGCACTGATAGCACCTGAACCAGAGAAAACTTTGCACTGTGAAGTTAATAAAACCCCGAAGAACTCACTTTCTAAACACACAGCTGTATGCAACTGTGCAGAACCTGTTTGGTCATGCCAGGTTTCTGAGGCAGGCAGCAGCTACACATGCCTGTGTGTGGTTCAAAAAATATGCTTTCCTGCTTTCTTATATGTACTTTGGATGCTGTGTGGATACTTTACCATTTTAACAGTGAATTCCAAGAAATCTGACTAAAACTGACTCTCCTAAATCAAGCAGTTTTAGTTTCTTTTTCAGAATCAGACAGGCACCAAAGGAAAGTTATGTGCTTCCATGCAAAGCATGACAAGTATCTAGTAAACCACAATCTTTCCTAAGAAGTGTAGTCTCCCTGGCTCTTGTCTTCTCATATACATTTTCTAGCTTGCTGAAAAGCTGCCAAATCAAAGACTCACATCCAGTAATTGAATGCCATTAGTCAGGAGAAAAGATACCCATTAAAAGGCTTGTTTTAATTACAAAGTTACAAAATAATTGAAGCAATTTTGAAATAGAAAGTACCCTTTCTTTGGATGAAAACTGCCTTTCATTTGTTGCAGACTAATGAGATATGGAGGTTTTACCTTGCTCTGCAGAGTAATGAAAAGCTGTTACTCTCTAAGCAGATACACTGCTATGGCACAGGACAACATAAGATTAAGAGATACAAATTCAGGACAAGAGGTCCCAGTGTTGTTAGGAGAAGTCAAAACCCTATGCTAGAGTGCAACAGGAGCAACCGCTGCTAAGCGTCTTCCAGTTTCAGCTCTGCATCTTCTTAAAATGAAAAGAAGGGGGTAAATCTAGTCTCTCCACTGGAAAGAGCAACTGCAGCTAAATCTTTTGTAATAGTGAATATTAAAATCCATCAGTGACAGGACATCTCATAACAGTCCCATCAGCCCGGGAAATCTATTCACATCACTCCACCGTTGGTGTTCCCCAACTGCTGCACAACTACCTCTTGTTCCAAGGACATTATTCTGCTTTCAAGGACACTGTTCTGTTGTTCTTTCAGAAAATAAAGCACAGTTTATCATCTGACATACAGCAACCTTGTATGTATAAGATGACTAGAATCAGGTCTCCACTAGTTCCACTCTTAAAAACTCTATTTTTTTCACTTTTCCCAGTCCCCATTTCTAGATCTGTGATAACTCCTGGAATGCATCTGTGTGGACCAAAGCTGTTGTACTCTCAGATTCAAAGGTATTTCTGTCCCCTGAAGCCTTGAGCATTACCAAGCACAATGAAAGAACTTTCCTAAGGTAAACCTTTGAGTAGTATGTGTTTACACAGGCCATACTGTATTTGCTTTTCTCTCAGTGTTCAGACCTTGTTGACTCAATTGCAGTTTGTGATCCAGCCCCGGATGCTGCTGCATATAGCTGCCACGTAGCTATTTGTCTAGCACTTCAGAATCCATCCCCATCTTCAAATGGGCTGCAAGCCCCCTGACTCAGCACTGCAGAATTAATCTTAATGAAGTTCCTTGTACAGATCTTTCACTTTCCTGATTTTAAAATAAGGAAAAAGCCTTCCATAATTCCACACTCATGAAGAATAGTGTGCATGTATTTAAAAGACATCTGCATGCAAATTTCTGCCATACCAGCAGCAAAGGTTTTGGTGTATAAATTGCCCATATTTAAGATCAGTTGCTAAAAAAAAGATTTCGAAATAACTTTGCTGAAAGCTACAGTACGTGGAGATGTTCTGACTTCTGCTCAGGGCTCTCTGGTGTGGAACTGGTCCTTGTCCTCGTGGCCAGAAAGAAGTAATTTTAAATCACTTTTTATGCAGGCAAGTTAAAGGAGGACAAACAGATTCAGATTCTTAATCACTATAGTCAGAGGATGATGGTCCCTAAAAAAACAAAACAAAATTAAGGGTATGCATGCACACAAACTGGGAAAGCAGCCTCAAGCGAGCCAACAAACAAATTAATGCTAACTGTGGATTTCTAAACATGTTGTGAGGCATGCAGCATACCTACTGGCAGATCAGACAGATTACAGAGAGGAGATGATACTTCCAGTTCAACAATATGGGTCTGGGAAAATAATTGTGAACATCTTTCCTTCAAAATCTTGTCAGCTGTAAAGGTTAAGGGTTCTGTCACAAGCTCAGAAAACAAGTGGAGCATGAAATGTCTGACATTGACACGTTGACACATTCCCAGCCTCACCAGCCTTAACCGCACAAAGGGGAAAACACAAGATAGTTGCCATCTCTCCTGCCAACTGTGTTTCTTACTGTGCATTTCTGGGCTTAACTGCTTCTGCCTAGTATTTTAAAATATTGTTGATCAATTGTTTGAATCTTTTTAATATAAAAAGAAGTATTTCTTAGTCAGCTGTAACAGCTTAGTTCCTGAAGTATAAGACTTCTTCAAAGTTCTATTAAGTAATTACAAAGGAAAAAAAAAAAAGTATTTCTGTGTCTTCTGGTCTCAGAATGTATTTCATCGTCAAGTGCTTAGAAACAGCTCTGAACACAAACAAACAACAACAACTGAAAAAAAAAAAAAAATCAAAAAGCCTTTTTGGCCTGTCTCCTGCTGGCAATCTGATATGCCAGTCGCAACGCTGCAGATCTGGTTTAATAATTGATGAATTGAGGATCAGTGGTCACACCTTTCATACCTATTTTTGTGATCCACATGCAGGTACATAAAAGGAAAGGTTAAGAAGTGAACTTACCCAGAAGGCTCACAGAAATTATAAGTGGAGAGTACTAGATGAGATCATACATAATAAACACAATCAACGTAATAGATCTGTACATCAATAAATTATCTCTAGTTATATTTTGTTGGGTTTCTTTCCATCATTAAAGTTATCATCAAAATAATTTAGCAAAAAAACATAACAATAAATGCTCTCAAGGAAAATGATTGCATAGAATGGCACCAAAAAAACTGTAGAGACCGATGTCAGGCTGTATTTCCAGAGGCACTGAATACCCATCATCTCAAATGTATCCAGGCAGAA